TCTCTCTCTCTCTCTCTCTCTCTCTCTCTCTCTCTCTCTCTGTCTTGTTTTTGGAGAATTTTAGTACCGAGAATATATTTCTACGAATTTCTCATTCTGGCATTAGCATATGTAGAGATCTAAGGTTAAATCAATTCCTTGTGCCCCTGTTCACGTACTACCCAACCAGAAAACAATGATGGCTTCTGAAATGAGCCAACAATTAAGCCTGAACCTTTCTCGATGAATGGATTTCAATCCGTAACTAGACAAGTGAGATAGATGAGGACAAATTGGAGGAAATTCAGCAACAAATTGGCCGACAACATTGAAGTTGTTTTCTTGAACTGACATTCCATCTTAGCCGAAACAATGTATCTCTTTTGTGCACGAAGTCACGTCAGGATTTCATTACTCTGATTTATTTGTTCTGTTTAACCATCTTTAGAAGGAAAAGATCGGCATTGATTCATTCGAGCCAATTTCTATAAAGTAGAGACGCAGATCCGGATAATAAGAAAGATTTAACGCTAACGTGTACGGTAAAGAAAAACACAGGAAGGAGATTAGTTCAAGCAGTCATCTGGATGTGAACTTCATATCTCGATAGATCAAGTAAAGGCTTCCATTCAAGATTCAAAGAATGAGAAAGACCGAGAAAGGAGCGTTATAACCAACGCATAGAGAAAACTGGTCGAGCAAATTCAATGATTAATAATAACCCCACGCCTAAAAACAATCAAAAGGAAAGGAGCTCTAAAAGATATTGGGGTTTAAAGGTTTTGCGAAAACAAAAAAAAAATATGTTCAGAAACTACAGGGTTTACAGACAGACTGGACACATTGGAAAACACATTAACTATATATATATATATATATATATATATATATATACTAGCAGCATGGCCCGGCGTTGCCCGTGCTTGATTCAAAAATCGTACGACTCATACAGCAATAGCTATCACTTGATTTAGAATATTTTTGTCCTTCCTTGCCTTTAAAGGAGTGCCCTTTGCAAGGCTGATGTTGCTAAATGCCTTACTTCTTGCCTATCTCACACTGCGAATTTTTTCTAAGCTCTATACTAAACATTAAATCTGTTACGAAAAAAGAACTAAACAAAATGAACACAAAACAAACAGCTTTAAAAAAAGGACTCGTAACTGGAAAAACCGAATGAAAAAATAATGTTAACAACAAATACTTTTTCAAACCCAACCCAGTTCTGCGGAATCAGAATCAACATTGAGTTTAAGCAAGCGAATGAGCCAATTGGAGTAAAGTGGCATGCAGAATTAAATTTATCCCACTTGTGACGAATGCAGCTATCGATTTCTTTTTTTGCTAGTTAACATTCCTGTCAGTCAGCTGTGGGCTCTCACGCTGGCCAATATAATCTTCCTGCCTATTCGTGGCAGCCAGCTATAGGCTCTTACTCTGGCCAGTAGAAAATGGCCGCAAACTACATGAAAAAAAGCGATTTTTTTCCACTATTGATGAGAGTTGGGAAATGCAAAGTCAGTCTTGGCCTTCACGCTAACTTGGACCATATGCATGTAAATTTTGATGCAAATCCATCGAAAATTGCGGCCGTGCATTTGTTATATACACACACACATCCTGCCTTTTTTATATATATATATATATTTTATATATATATATATATATATATATATATATATATATATATATATTGTCATCCACAGACAGACTGTTTCGCTGAATCACAGCTCATCAGTGTAGCTAGACGACCGGTTGCCTCTAGCTAGGATCGAAACCCGACTGAATTGCCTTTAGTCGGGGTTTCTACCACTAAGTTGTTGATGCAAGGCAGGAAAGAAAGTGAATTTAAGCGTATTTATTTTTAGATAAACACACAGCAACTGAGAGAACTCGATTCGATTTACTGAAGAGTCTTGCATTATTAGCCGTAATAGTCCCTTTCTCCCCAGAGAGCTCAACCGAAATAATTTTTTCAGGAGCATATATTGTTATCCACAGACAGACTGTTTCACTGTGTACATATATATATATATATATATATATATATATATATATATATATATATATATATTACCGACACAGATTCAACGTGGTTTTGTCAAAAAGAAGAAAGAACTGATTTCTTTTTCTGGGGTAAGCTAAAGGAGAAGGTGTACTCAATGAAAATCATTGATGCAACAAACTTGATTGAACACATACAGGGTGAATGTGCTAAAATTGCCGGCAATGTGGTGTTATTACATCGATTTTCAGTTTAAATGATGTCATGTTATAGCACAGGTTTTAAACAGAACAGGTTTTAAATTTGTTTGCCGTCAATGATTAGCATTTGTGACACTGCGCATATAAATATCTGTTAATAAATTCAATAGATTTATCTTACCCTAACGAGCGGAGTATTTGTGAAAAATTGAAGTTTTTCATACATACATACATACATATATACATATATATATATATATATATATATATATATATATATATATATATATAATTTGCTCGTATGTGCGTGTGTTTAGTGTAATAGTAATTGTCAAGGGATGTGGAATCGATCAGTCTAGTTCAAATTCAGGTTGATTCTGTTACGCTCACTCCACGCCAATGACGTTGGAAAACATATGAATATATCATCTTCCAGCTATGGGTTAAATATCAACGAATATTTATTGGGCTCTCTTGCCTTGGGTGGCAGACAGTCCAATAGAAGGAGAATTCCTCATTTCAAACCTAAAGATGTTTTTGGAGACTTCGTAGCATCTAGTGTACCATTTCTCTGTTATCCGTTCTTCAACTTACCAACGAGGTGAGGGTGGAACAGAATATAAAAACAACCATGACCACGTGACTAAAAAAAAAAACAATCAACCAAGTCAAACCGTAACTCAACAACGGGGGTGGGGGAGTATTTTTTTATTCAATAACGGAACAAAAAAAAAAAACTATTCTAATAACCAGTGTTTTTTATGTCTACACCTACTCAAGATTTCAGATTTTAGATTTAATAAATTATTGTTTTTTTTTATATATAGCAATAGAAAACTTTTCCTCTGTGCATAGTGAACAAAATTTATCACCTGCTTTATAGCTGTGACATTTTTTTTAATATTTCCCAGTTCAAAATGGCGTCTTTATTATCCTCTAGTTTGACTTTCCATACATAAGTGGATAAAGTGGTGCTATGTTTGTATGTTTAGTTATTAAAACTACTAGGGTGGTTATAGTATCATGCTTTAAAATTATTTTGGGTAGATCCTATATAGACCTTAGGATTTTTATCAGTATTATTTGGTTTATCCTTATATATCTTTACTTGGTATATCACGCACTCTTATTGGCATTTGCCCTGGAGGGGGCAGGCTTCCTGATTCCTACAATTACACTTAAGTTCCAAGTCCAAAGAAAAAAAAAACACAAACAAGTAAAAAGACAAAAACATAGAGTGCTCAATACGCTAAGTAGAGCGATAAACTAAAATAATCCTAAGGAGCCAGGCAAACCTACTTAGGTTTCACGTAAACGGATCTTCAGGGTAAAGCTGGCTAAAAAGGAAAATAACGGAACAGTATTTATTGATAAAACCAGATAAAAACCATAACCACGTGCCAAAAAATAAAAGATAATAATAAATAATAGATAGGTTTGCCTGGTTCTTAGGATTATTTTAGTTTATATATATATATATATATATATATATATATATATATATACACTCGTACGTCGAAAACGTTATATATATATATATATATATATATATATATATATATATAATTTATTTAAAAGTTATAACATAAATATGTTATAAAAATCACTACAAAAATAGCCATTTTGTTTCAACACCTCTGCTGTCTTATCAAGTGATGATGTTGAATGTAAGAATAGTAATTGTTGGTTATTGGAATTTATTCCGTATACACCAATCATATACTTTATATATATATATATATATATATATATATATATATATATATTTTATCGATTTACGATGTGTGTATATATATATATATATATATATATATATATATATATATATATATATATAATGTAAAAAATAACATTAATTTTTTTAGAAAGAAATTGAAATTGTAAAAAAGAAATAAGAAGTAATATTTAGTGAAAAGAATTATTTTTACTCAAACCATTTAGAATCGGATTAATGTTCCCACATGTGTTGTAATATTACAACGTTTCGATCGTTGTGTTATCCGATCTTCTTTAGGTGTCAGTCGATTCGGATAACCTTCGGATCAAGATTTTAAAATTAGCACGAATATAAGTAATAATTCCATATTGCAGAAATTAAAACAGAAAGAAATATTTTAAGATGAGTTCCTAGATTATTCTCGGCCCAACTATATCGACGTTGAAAAAAAAAAACAAATTAAAATTGATCAGATTTTGGGAACTAGTTCAGAAATGCCTTATCTATATACAGCCGCTTTCTCAGGTCAATCTCATAGTACTTTTATGAGGGCTAACAAAGTGAAGAAACTCTCCATAGGGATTTCTATACAAAAACTGCATCACTAAAAACGCCATAATAAATACAGGACGCCATGTTTTATATTCAGCAGTTTGGCTTGACCAAGGAGATTCTTAGCTGATGTGCGAAAAATGTAACGGCTCTCTTGTTTGATTTGCTGTATATGTCTTTTTTTTTTTCTCCGCCTGTTCGTGCGGTCGGATAGGGTTAGACGATTTGCATAGAGAAACCACGTCTTTTGTTTGACCTCTTATTCTCTCTAAATTCTATTTTCCAATCACGTGAACGCTGCTGATAGCAAACACAGAAATGAAAGAACAGCACCCGCCTTTGCAAAACTCTACACTATTCTTACTTATACTTATTTCACGTGAAGTGAAAGATCGATTTCGTCAATTACATTCAAATATTCCAAGTATAAAATCGACTAGATAAAACGATATCGATTTGCAGTTCAGCTGTATCCTGTTGTGACGTTCCCATCGCTGGCAGACAATTACTACCCTGATATTTCGGGCGTGCACACTGGCGGTCTTGAAAAGATATGCATCGGTGTTGATCTTGTGAGTGACGAACATAGCCTT